GTTTCTCATGTTGTGGTGACCCCAACCATAAAGTATTTTCATTGCTACTTCATAACTGTAATTTTATGTTATGAATCATAATGTAAATATCTGTGTTTTCTGATGGTCTTAGGTGACCCCTGTGAAAGGATCGGTTGACCCCAAGGGGTCACGACTCACAGGTTGAGAACCACTGCCTTAGAGAGTATGAACTTCTGCCTTTTCATCCCTAGGGTATATTTACCTTTATACTGTTTCCAGAGTGGCAAGAGTAAGCCCATCCCGCACCCCAGTAGCTGACTGAACAGCCTACTTGCCTGCTGTGGATATTACTCTATATAAATAAAACACTGATGGCCAGTGACCAGGCAGGAAGTATAGGTGGGACAAAGAGAGAGGAGAATTGGGGAAACAGGAAGAAGGAGGAGAGACACTGCAACCATTGCCATGACCAGCAGCATGTGAAGTCACCGGTAAGCCACGAGTCATGTGGCAAGGTATAGATTTGTAGAAATGGATTAATTTAAGATAAAAGAACAGTTAGCAAGAAGCCTGCCACGGCCATACACTTTGTAAGCAATATAAGTCTCTGTGTTTACTTGGTCGGGTCTGAGCGGCTGTGGGACTGGCGGGTGACAAAGATTTGTCCTGACTGTGGGCCAGGCAGAAAAACTCTAGCTACACTTGTCCTTTCTTCTCTTTCATCTTTCAAATATTATTGAAAAATAAAATTTTTTTAGACCAGCGTCCTCAGCTCCTTGCCTCCAGGTTGGCATCTGGGAGACACAAAGCAAGATGGCATCTCACAGTTTGAAAGCCTTGAGTGCCATGGTCTGCATCAGTCATTCTGTAGCTGTGATAGAAAAGCTATGGCTGCAAGCAACGGAAGGAAGGAAGGGTTAATTCTGATGTATGGTTCCAGAGGGCGCGAGTCCGTCATGGCGGGGAAGGTTTGGCAACAGGAAGCAGGAGCAGGAAGCTGGCTGATCACATTTTCATCCACACACAAGAAGCGGAGGAAATAAATAGGAAATGGGATAACATCTCGCCTTCAGTGACACACTTTCTTCACCAAGGCTGTACTTTCTAAAGGTCCCATGACCTCCCCAAAGACCACCACCCACTGAGGACCAAGTGTTCAAGTCTCTGGGCCTTATGGCAGACTTTTCTTATTCAAACTACCACATGGTTAGAAGATGGAATGTCCTCCCTAGATTGTGTTGAAAGACTGGTACCTAGCTGGTGACTATTTAATTTGGAGGTGGGGCTTAGCTTAAGGAAGACGTTCATGAGGGAGTGTGCCTTTGTAGGTGACACCGGTCCCCTCTCACTTCCTAACTCTCTGCTTCTCATCTGTCACGAGGGTGGACAACTTCCTATACCACATGCTCCTGCTGCCATAATGTTCAGCCCAAGTCCATGGAAACAAACAACCATGGACTGCGAGCCAAAATAAAGAATTCCTCCCTTCACACTGTGATCTTAGGAATTTGGTCACAATGCCTGGCAACTAACACAGGAAGCCCGTCTTTGCCATTTGCCTTTTCTCTTGGTAGAGCGACCTCTGTAATTTCATGGCCAATGGCCGCTACCCTCAGTGCCCAAACTCGGACTGGGAACGGTCTTGCACCTAAATGAAAGTTTGTTCTTTCAGGCTCTGTCTGTTTCCATTGTGTTCTGGAATGCATCAGTCATGAAGATGCACACGTGAGCCAGGGCCCTTCTTTGAATTCAAGACTCATTTATTCTCCCCACAGCTCACCATCACAAGAGGCACTGAGTGGGCAGGCGTTCTGACAAGCTTAGGGCACTAGGAGGCAAGTGTTCAACTGTGCTGGTGTCAACCTGCCATCCTGAGTGCTCCTTGCTCTCTGCTCCACAGGCCAGCCCTCTTCCCATCATGCCTCTGAGTCCTCCACTCCACAGGCCAGCCCTCTTCCCATCATGCCTCTGAGTCCTCCACTCCACA